CCACCACCCTTCCTAAGTCGAGCATCTTCTCCCCTCCACCACTTGTCGTCGGAAGAACTGGATGATGTCTTCGCCAAGATCCCTAAGCCGAATAGGTTCGTACTTTTATGAGATTAATCCACATGAGATTTTTGCAAAACGAACAAGACCACAGTTACAAGATAACATATTGCAACTATTTCTTATGAATTTCTTTAACTTTATGATAATGTCCTCCAGTCTGTCCTCCAACAAGCTATGTGGAAAGGGTGGTTCCCTATCTTGCAAGCTTGACTGAACAATTTTCCGGAAAGGAAGTGTCGAGTATTATCAACAATGATGTTTGTTTCTTTTTTTTTCAGGTAAAGAAATCAATGAGTTAGGTAAAGGGAACCGTTTTGTCACCCATCTTATTTAAAATTATTGTGGATATACTAGCTATCCTCGCAACAGAGCTAAGGAGGATGGTCAATTTTCAGGCGTGTTGTGCATCTTGTGGACGATGAGTAATCTATACGCTGATATGCTGATTACATTATACTCTTTATGTGTATTTGAAGTAATCAGCTAATTTAAAGCTCATTTTAACTGTCTTTGTGCAGCTTTTATATCTTAAAATTAATTTCTACTACTGACAGAATTATTGCCTCTGTAAGGCCAAATAGGACGAGGAGGTGGAGCAAACCCAAATGTTTGGGTGCAAATTGCAATTCATTTTCATAGACTATGTAACAGACACTAGAAATGCACAGAAGTTCTTAAACCGTTTTGAGAGATGTCTTAAAGGTCATAGGTCTAAAAATGTATGTTACGGGGGCTAACTGGTGTACTTATATCAACACCCTGTTGGTTAACGTCCCTATTTTCACAGTGTAATTTAAATATCGTAACATGAACATTTAGACTTACATAGATCTAGAGTTTTCTTGCAAAGAATCAAATACCAAGGTCATTACAGTCTGGTGAAATGGGAATTTTTTTTTGTCTAATACGAGGAAGGTCTCTAGGAATCCAGTACCTTGGAAATGATTCCAACTAAATAAGAGTGCCGATGAATCCACTATATGCACAACAGGAGCTTGAGACAAGTACTCCCTCTCTGATCCATAATAATTGTCGCAACTTTAAACTAAGGTTGAAGCAACCTTAATTCAAAATTCTTACACTTATTTTGAATTGGAGGAAGTAGTAGTTAAACTCTCACGTACCTAGCACCGGAAATAGAGGGGTGCGGAGCAAGGATGCTGCTAGAGATCTATCGATTGGCAGACCGATTATAGCCTGAGGGACAAGTCGAGCTCGTGGTCGCGCTCCGACGAGATCCTGCTGCGCTTGTGTGCTGTGGCGCCTGGTGCTGCGGGCTCCTTGGACACCCAAGCAGCGCCAGCAGCCCTCCCCGGCTTCCAAGCGTGTGCGGTAGCAGCGGCAATCTCCCGGCGGCGCTTATCGGCACGCTCTTGTTTGTGCGCGTTCTGGTGGCCGCCGAGCGCCTGCGAGGTGCGGAACTTGCGGTGGCAGTAGACGCATAGGAAGAAGCCGGGCGCCGGCGCCACGACGGCGGCGGCCAGGGTGAGCTCGAGGCTAAGCTCGTCCTGCGCGTGCTCCATTGTGCTAGCTTGTGCTGTTGGTTGTGTGTCGTATTCGCAGAGAGCTGTGTGGGTAACTGAGCTGAGCTAGCTATAGGTTCAAATCTGGGGAGCAAGAATGGCCAAGCGAATCGTGGAGGTAGCTTGGACGGCCGGGCTGCATGTGGTGCTAATTGCCCTTAGCACTGTTCTCCGCGGTAGGTCTGGCCGGGAGGGCGACGTACGGCCCCGCCGGCCTCCATCACCGGGGCGTACACACATGCGCGAGGTATTGGGTCAGACTGCCTGCATGCGTGGCCCACCCAAGATTCCTTATGTCCCGAACAAAAAAAGATCATCTGACACACGGACTATTAGGAAAGGTTTAATCTTGTGTGCAGGGTTACTGTGGACGTGCATGGGCATTCTGCGCTGGAGCGGGCCCCATGTAGAGGGCCATATTTTCTGTGGGACTCAGCCTCTCTTTTTTTCTCTTGCAATGACCTACGGCGCATAAGCAGGTGTATGTGATTATGTGTACTTTCCTTTCCTAAGAAAGTACATGTGGATAATAAGTTTAGAAAAACTAATTAGTACTCCCTCTGTAAAGAAATATATAAGCGTTTAGATCATTAAAACAGTGTTCTAAACGCTCTTATATTTGTTTACAAAGGGAGTAATTTTCAAAGAGGGTTAACGCCTACAGTTTTGAAAACATCGGCACCAAAAATTGTAATATAATGTGAAAACGGTTAATATTTCCAACAGATAAGTGGGAAGCTGTCAACAGATGGGTGCCAGTTTTAGCAACGTGCTTCTTCTCCTTTATGGACCTGCCTGTGGCTGTCTATAGCATGATTGGCCACGGACATGCCGGGCAGGGAGTCGTTTGGACCTTGCATATCATGGCAAGGCAGCAGCTGCAAGATAAGGCTGCAGGCCTTACGTGGATATGCTGGGCATCACCGGTCACCGGCCAGTCTCCATTAATTGTGAAAAACAAACGAGAAAAAAAATTGCATGCTAAGCCGAGACAGAGGCTACCTGGAGCTTCCAGAGTAGTAATACTATTTTACTGTGAGAGGTTTACGGCTCACGGACTTGTGTTAGTGCCTTCTCATGCTACCACACAATCATATTGGACCGCTTGTCGTTGGCACACTAATATTAAACGTTAACCAATGATAGAATATTTTCTGTCAAATCTCTTTACATGTTTCTAATCAAAACTGATATAGGATATCCACGGAAATTCTTGTGGAAGGTAAAAATTCCAGCTAAGATCAAAATGTTTTTATGGCTGTTGGCTCGAAAAAGTATTTTAACTAAACACAATTTGCTGAAAAAGGGTTGGAAAGGTGAGAAAGAGTGTGCTTTTTGTGGACAACATGAACGTATAAATTATTTATTTTTTGATTGTTCTGCAGCCAGACTCATATGGAGTTTATTGAAACGTTCTTTTGAGTTGAGATGATCTCCTTGAATTTGAATGATTGCTTTGGTAATTGGGCCAAAATTTTCTAGAAATCTGACAGGCGGATAATCCTGGTTGGAATTCCTGCGATGTTTTGTTCTATCTGGAAATGCAAAAACAATATTATCTTGATAAAAAAGAAATTCATGATCCCATGATTCTGGTGAGATTGATGTGTAACTGGATTGTGGATTTGTCTATTTTGAAGGAAAAAAATAGAGGAAAAACTTCTGATGCTGGGTAAGACTAGTCGAACAAGTGGTAAGTAAAAAATTACAGCACATCGCACATTGATGGAGACCAGGTGTGCTGCCACTTGGCCGCTGACAAGGTGGTGAATCTCCTGGAGTTTGCCAAAATGTTTGCTTCGGTAGTCTAGCTCAGCCTGGTTTCCCCGGCTCTTAGCTATTGTCTGTACTTTGAAAACAGCTCTCTATATAGCCTCCTTTTGGGTGGGAGGTGTTTACATTTGCTGGTATGTAATAATTAGCTTAACTAATTATAAAGTTAAGCTTTATAAAGTTTGACTAACTTTATATTAAAAACTATCAGCATTTGCAATATGAAGTCCTTATTATCGGATGCACCATGAAATGTATTTTCATACAATATAGTTTTAGTATTGTAGATATTCATATTTTAGATATAAATTTGGTCAAACTTTGTGTTGTTCGACTTCAACAAAATTTTACACTTGGAGTAAAAAGAAATTGAGGGAGTTCTTTGTGGGTGGTTAGTTTCTCGTTCTAGGTAGTGCCGCTTGCTGTAATCATTTACACATTGTGGTTTCGTTAATGAAATCAGAAGCGGAGCCCTTCTTTTGCTAAAAAAGAAAAACATTAGTGGTGTTGTCAAGCAGCATACCAAGGCCACGGACGCCTTGACTAACGGACTTGCATGACACATGTACCCCCAGTGGTGTTGGCGGCCACTTCTTATGGAATACTACTTTACTGATACACATGCACGGACGCCATCATCCGTCATGCTCCATGATAGCACTAAATATGTTGGTGCTTTGAAGTCTTTTGAACATGCACATCAGACCCTAGTTTCCTCCAACTGCAAGTTGTGCATATTATCCCTAGCACCACCAATGCCTCCTCCTCAAGTCGAGTGTCGGTTTACTAAGTTAGCCACTCCCATGTACCCCCAGCCCCCGCGTCATTTCTTCCGATAAAGTACATTTCATTGAATCGAATATCAAGGTGATACAACCGCATCGAAAGAATGGCTGGCTTCTGCATAGCATCATGCACATATATAGCCCAAAAGTCCCCCCTCCCCCTAGCCAAGTCGAGCAATACCACCACCCTCCCTAAGTCAAGCGCATCTTCTCCCCTCCACCCCTTGTCGTCCGAAGAACTGGACGATGCCTTCACCAAGAGCCCTAAGCCTCAGGTTCATACTTTTATGAGATTATTCCACATGAGATTTTTGCAAAACGAACAAGATCACAATTATAACATAACATATTTGCGACTATTACTTACGAATTTCTTTAAATTTATGATATCATCCGCCAGTCTTTCTTCCTGCAAACTACAAGGAAAGGGTGGTTCCCTATCTTGCAAGCTTGAGTGAACAATTTTATCAAGAAAGGAAGTCCATATTACAACCTTGAACTACCACTAAATTCTTAAACACAACCCTGGACTACGAAACCGTCTAACTTACAACCCTGAACTATAAAAACCGGACAAAAGACAACCCTACATGGTTTTCACCGATTTTGACCAGTTTTTGACTGTTGGCCTCCAGTCAACGCCTAGTCACTTTGGTCAAATTTTGGCAAGAAAGGTTGCAGAAAAAATTGAAAATTTATCAAAAATCCACACAACCATTATACTGAATCTGGGAAAGTTCGAACAATTTTTGCCAAGTAGAAAAATAATAGTAAAGCGAAAATTCAAATTCTTGAAACGCTTTTTTGCTTTAATTTTTTCCCTATGTTTCGCTTTAAATTTTTTCCACGTGGCAATATTTATTGGAACTTTCCCAGAATAACTATAATGGTTGTGTGGATTGTTTAGAATTTTTTAACTTTTATTTGGACAATTTTCTTTTGACCAAAATTTGACGCAAACTGCTTGGGGGCTGATTGGACGTCAAAAACCAGTCAAAACTACCTCAGGGTTGTCTTTGTCCGGTTTTGAAAATTCGTGGTTGTTAATTAGATGGTTTCGTAGTTCAGGGTTGTGTTTTAGACTTTGGTAGTAGTTCGAGGTTGTAATATGAACTTCTCTCTTCTTCTTTTTTCAAGGTAAAGAAATCAATGGGTTACGATAAAGGGAACCCTTTTTCACACATCTTATTTAAAATTATTGTGGATATGCTAGCTATCCTTGCAACAGAGCTAAGGAGGATGGTCAATTTCGAGTCGTGTTGTGCATCTTGTGGACCATGAGTAATCTATATGCAGATATGTTGATTACATTATACTCTTTATGGGGATTTGAAGTAATCAGCTAATTTAAAGCTCATTTTAACTGTCATCGTGCAGGTTTTATATCATAAAATTAACTTTTACTACTGACACAATTATTGCCTCTAGAAGGCCAAATAGGATGATAAGCTGGAACAAACCCCAATATTTAGGTGGAAATTGCAATTCTTTTTCATAGACTGTGTAACAGACACTAGAAGCGCATAGAAGTTCTTAAACCGTTTTGAGAGATGTCTTAAAGGTCATAGGTCTAAAAATCTATGTTACAGAGGCTAACTAGTGTACTTAATCAGCACCGTGTTGGATAATGTCCCTATTTTCAGTGTCCTTTAAATATCGTCACTTGAAACATTTAGACTTACATAGATCCAGGTTTTTCTTGCAAAGAATCAAATACCAAGGTCATTACAGTCTGATGAAATGGGATTTCTTTTTTGTCAACCCAAATAATGTTAGAAGGGAGAGAGGATTGTCGGAATATGATGGATTGGTGTAACCGTTGATTGTATTGCTTGAGCCTCATGGACATATATATAGGAGTACATGATCATCTTCGAGTACAAGTCAAGGCTGGAAAGAATCCCACGCTATCCTACGTTTCCTAAATAAACATTATGCTCAACATCCCCCCGCAATCACAATAGTAGCGACACATGTCGTGGTACTAAGTCTAACAGCAAGAGTAGTGGGTACGTATGAGGAGGCAAGGCCCTAGCTACGGCATGGTTGTACACACGAGTTTACGAGTTCAGGCCCCTCTCGGAGGAGGTAAAAGCCCTACGTCTCGGTGCCCTGAGGCGGTCGACTGGAATATGGAGTGTGTGTTATAGGGGGTGCGAACCCTTGCCCTAGAGGAGGGGGATGGCTTATATAGAGTTTGCCAGGACACCAGCCGCCCCCCGTTACAGGGTTCAATGTACATTAAGATAGGGCGTTACTGGTAACCTCAGCTATAAAGTGCTATTAATGATCTTTAAGACTACGAAGTGAACGCCTTACCGTTGCCATCCTGAGTGACTCTAGGTCTTTTGTACTCCGAGTGGTTTCCTGTATGGTCGAATGACTTCATCGAGGTCGAGTAAAATTGGGGGTATCCGAGTGAGGTGACTGGTCGAGTTGATT